AATAAAGGATGGAGATTCTCCTTGGCTCTCTTTTTGTCATTAATATATTTGTAAAAACATTTTTTGTTGTCTCTAATGACAGCAGCCAGATTGCATTCTAGCTGGGCTTTTGCCTTTCTCATTTCCTCTCTGCACGACCTAACGAGATCCCTGTACTCTTCTTGAGTCGCCTGCCCCTTCTTCCACAAGTGGTAAACTCTCCCAGCAAGAGTTTCCTGTTCAGCCAGGCCGGTCGTCTTCCCCGCCCGTTCTTCTTACAGCGTACAGGGACAGCCTGCTCCTGCGCCTTTAAGACTTCCTTCTTGAAGAATGTCCAGCCTTCCTGGACCCCTTTGCCCTTCAGGATTGTCTCCCAAGGGACTCTCTCAACCAGTGTCCTGAACAGGCCAAAGTCCGCCCTCCGGAAGTCCATGGTTGCAGTTTTGCTGCCCCCCCTCCTTACTTCACTGAGAATCGAGAATTCTATCATTTCATGGTCGCTAAGCCCAAGATGGCCTCCGACCACCACATCTCCCACCAGTCCTTCTCTGTTTGTAAACAGCAGGTCAAGCGAGACACCTCCCCTGGCAGGCTCACTTACCAGCTGTGTCAGGAAGTTGTCTTCCACACACTCCAGGAACAGATCTCCTCCTCACTGTTCCATATCTAATCTTTCCCAGTTTTACCAAAATTAATTCTTTCCTATTTTTTAGTCTTCTGCAAACCTGTTTTACTCTTAAAAAAGAGATAGAGGTACATATGTGATAAATAATGTAAAAAATGTACATATACATTTTTTTATATATCTACGCATTTATACACACACAGTCTAAATACAGTGATGAACAGCTGGCTTTGGTTAGGAAAGAATAAATAAAACTGCTGGAAACCCAGATGTTTCAAGCCTGATCTAGAGCTGGGTCACTGCTGCTTGCTCAGAACATCATTCACAGGCCACTGCTTTAACCGTCTACATTGCAACTGCATATTAAAACCCAGTGTTTTTAGACCTGTTTGAAAATAGAAGTGCCACGAGTTCTGCAACAGAAGACAGATGATAAAGTCTTCTGAGACAAAAGCAGTTGCTGCTAACAACACAAGACACCCACCCCTACACCCCTCCTCCCAAATAAAACTGCCTCTTGTCTCAAGCTCTCACTGACAAACAGTAACTCAGCATGGCAGCTCCTGACCCCCCCAAAAAAAAAAAGAGGATCCTGTTGCTTCTCCTGCCTACTTCCTCCATTAAAAAACCCTCAGCTATGCCACTCCATTCCTCAAAGCCTGCTTCAGACACCTCCTGAACACAGTCCTTGCTCTGCTCCCAGCATCTCCTCCATATGTTCTTGGGAAGAATGTACCCGCAGGAAGTGTGTTCTCTCAGAAGGCTGCTACGCAAATAATTCTCAAAACTGGGAAGACCATACATAGGCACAAAAAAAGAAGTCTGAGGACTTCTGCATTCTGATGCAAGCAACACCAGGTAATCTTACTCTGTTCTGTACAACAGCTGAGCAGTCAGACTTACACCCAGATCTAAATGAGAATTACTACTAAATTAACACGGAGACCCCTGAGTTACTACCTGAAAGCATTTTATTTCCATCAGCTCCTTTTTTCATTCTACATGATAAACTACTACTGCAGTGGCAGGAGGTAAATAAGTATTTCAAAAAAATCATTCTCTTTCCATTTTTTAATATAAAATTATTGAATATCAAAAGGAATTTGGAAGAAAAACCACAATCTGTTGACTATGTTATTATTTAAGTAAAGAACAACTTCTAGATAGACAACAATGAAAAGTAAGACCTCATCTGCAAAAGAAGGCAATGACTAAGACTACATGGGGAAAGAGGTGTTAAAGAGCTGAGTGGCCATCTTGCTAGGGATGAATGGATACGATAGTCTCAAACGGTTTGAAATTACTGAGAAATGAGAATTACAAGTCATGATCTGTGGTGCATCCCTGTACTCTGACTCGCTCAGACAATTCCGTGTCAGGACTAAGTGATAACATCCTTGCTTTTGTCTTGTGAAATAACAAACATATTTTTGAAGCAGTTCAGAACATGAAATCCTTGAGGCATTTGGTTCAGAGAAAAAAAAGCATAATGCTTTTCATTTTTGCTCTAGGTGAAACCCACCCCGGCTACAGAAAACTAAATCAAAAAATAAGTGATTGCAGGCACACAAAGAAACACTACAGATATTTTTTCAATAAAAAAAATTCAGCCTTAAGCGTCCTAGTGGCTGCAGCAAGCAAAGACATAACAAAGATAGAAACACTTTCAATTGATCTGTTGAATCAGAAAAATGTATGAAGATGGAGACATGTTTTGATGCTATCAAATAGTATTGTTCTATACTCAAGTTCACTCGAGTCACTGCTGTCACAAGACTTCTTCCTAGTGATCATCTGTCTTGTACTTTGGGTCACAGGTATGGTAAACACTCTTCATTTAATTGCAGAAACAAAACATCACAAAACACCCCCCAAAATTCATTTACACTTCTGAAGACCAGAAACACTTTCTAGAAGTGGTCTTAAACATGATGAAGTAAACCCCAAACTTAAAGAAATTCAGAATACAGTTTTTAACATTCAAATAAAATGCAGGCGTTTCTGTTAATGAATCTGGAGATTCCCCCCTTTCTAAATACTTGCACTTCGCAATAAGATAGTTCTGTAGACTGGTGATCAATATAAAGTTCTATCAAATCAGAATAGAAATTTATATAACAACTTTATAAGGTATAAAATGGCTACATTATACACACTGTGGCAAACAAAGCCTTTCATTTTTCATTTGTTCTATAACCC